ACACCTTGTTATCTCAGATTCTCCAGCATCTGCAGTTCCTGCTATCTCTGAAACAATTTTAACCCCACTGCGAAGCCTCTTCTAAGGAAGCCTATCCTGAAGAAGTTACCCTCCTCCCTCCGATCACGAGAGGGCAGCTGTTTCACTGTCCCTGAACAGCACAAATAAACTGTGGCTCTGCTAGGATCTAACGTGCTCGATCTGTAGAGATGCAGAGAGAGAGAGTACAGTTTTACTTTTCCTATTGCAATGAAAATATCCCCTATGATAACTCAATATTTCTGAAAAAAAGTACTTTGTGACTTTTAATTGTCTTCACAGTGTGCTGTTTTGTCCATTCTGTGATACATGTAGATTATGCCAGTGTTGAGAAGCACAAAGTATATTTCCTCCTCTAAACCTGAAACTCTCTCCATTTGGCTTTACTGCTTATTGACTTTTCTACAATTTCCCCTGTTCCCTCGCTCTGTCCCAGTCCCAGAGGAATTGATGGCCAGTCATCATGACCCCACACTGGGTGAAGGTTTGTGTGAAGTGAGGCTGGTGTGTTGTAGCTTGGGCTCCAGCCTCAGGACCAGATGTAGGTGCCTGTTCTCCAATTTGCACATTGTTCTTTCTGATCAGACTTTTTAAAATTGTTTGACAAGCTAATGATGTAAATACATCAGTGTTATATATGGCTGGGATCATTTAAAATCATGGTCCTAGTTTTTCATGGACCACCACTTGTGATAATACAGTTTTCAATGTTTCTCTCCCCTTATGTGTTATGAAGAGGTTTGCAAACGTGTTTTGGTGAGGATAGTGCATCTTCAACACCGTGTGACGAATTGGGTGGGTGTTTGAATTCTCATTCCACTGTCGTGCAGCTTTCAAAGAAATTAGATTGCACCCAGGCTTTGTAAATATTGTGTTTTGGAGTTTATCTTTGGAATGCTAATTTGTAATAAAAATATCCTGCTCTGCTCTGTAGCTCAGTCATTGTGTTTGTCAATGAATGTTCCCTGAGATACTGAGAGTTTACACAACACACCATTTGCCTGGGATCCAGTTGCTGGCTGAAGCCTCTTGTTGTTCGGTGACTCCAAGCCATTGTCTTGCTCTCTGCAGTTATAACATCAACTTGGTTTCTCAGTGTGAGCCAGGAGACCACTGCACGGTGACTTCCTGTTCCACTGTCAGTGTAAAGGCAACTGGGAACTGTCGAGGTTAATCCCATCATGAACATCAGAACATTATGCTCAGCCAGAACTACCCCCACTGACCCATTTTTTTGGCCATCAGCGCAGTGAAAGCAAATCTGTCCCTTTGCCAGCACAAAGAGAAAGTGTGCGTGGTAATGGTTTAGCCCAATAGGAGCAGCACTGGTCGATCATGCTGTATCAGACTGGATAGAAACCTGGGCAAACTCCAAACAAAAGCCTGACCTTCAGTGGATCTGCTGCTACAGGAAACATGGAATTGGAATACTTGTTACTGAATCACCTCATCAAACCCAAATGCAACTGAGAAAATATAAACCAAACCAATTTCCCAAGGACAAACGTTACAACACAGCAAGAAAGTGGGGAACAGACAGTAACTGATCGCTCTCTCTCTCTTTTTGGGAATTTCACTGTTACTTGTTCCCCCTTTCTGTGGGTTACCATTTTTAGCATCCGTTGTCTGAGGATGTTATGGTTCCTGTCCCCCCTCTCTCTCAGGGTGGGGATGGGTGTGTCATACCCAGCTGGTTTGTTAGTTCCATTCCCTGCTTCCCTACACTGAGCCGTGTGTTAAAGCTTGGCACAGCTCACCCTTCATCTCAATCAGATCACAGGGTCTAAGGTTGGTCAGTACTGTCTGGACCCAGAACAATAACACTGACTGACTGGAGACAACCCAGATCAAGTCACAGTGAGACTGTTATTGACATTCACACTCAAAGCCCACCGAGGAGCTGGTCATTTGTCTCCATGTTACCATAGAGTTAGTTCTCCCAGAGATTCATGAATCATTCTGGATTTTAAACAAGGGAGGGATGTTGCGAGGGAACAGGCGGGAAGGTATGGAGAGGGGAAAAAAATCAGAAAACTGTATTTCTGTTACACCGTTCATGAGCTGAGGATGTTTGAAGATGTTTTTACAGTCAATGAAATACTTCTGAAGTCTAGGCATTTGTCGTAATGTAGGAACTGTGACAGCCTGGACAAGGCAGATCATTTGGCAGCAGCACCACCCAGAGACTGGTGGCTGTTACTGCAGGCAGGCTCCAAACCAGTTCTACTGTGAGGGAATGACACTGAAGCACACAAGCACATGAGAAATAGGAGCAGGAGGAGGCTCCCAATGCCAGTCCATCCTTTCTTAAATACAGGGACCAAAATTGTACACCGTACTCCCAGTGCAGGCTCACTAACACCCTGTACAGTTAGAACAAGACTTCTCTACTTTTAAATTCCAGCTCCTGGCAATTAGCGCTAAAATTCCATTTGCTTTCTAAATTATTTGCTGCACCTGCACTAACTTTTTGTGTTTCATGCACAAGAGCACCCAGATCCTTCTGCACTACGTTTTGTTGGAATCACTCCCCATTTAAATAACAGTCTGCCTTTTTATTATTCCTACCACTTACACTTTCCTACATTAAACTCCATCTGTTGTGTATCAGCGTTTCATTTATAGTTTGGTCTTCTCTTTGTGATTGTCTGTCTCTATGCATCTGCCTATATTGTGTCCCATTCCTATTTGCTTGTAGCCCAGAGCCTTGATTGTCCAGGCCTTTCCTGCTGGTTCCATTCAATATTGAACTGCTTCCTTGAGACAATCTAACGCAGCATGTCACCGCCCTCCTACAACCAGGACTCTCCTTGTTGTCCTGGTTTGGCACATTTGAGGCTCGGAGAGTTACTTCATGACTTGCTCACAGACTTTGTTACATGGAGAGCGGGGTGGAAGCAGAGGGAGATCCAGGCTCCATGACTGGGGAGTGAGGGGGAGACCCAGGCCCAGGCCCAGGCTCCAGCTCCGTGACTGGGGAGTGAGGGGGAGACCCCTGGATGATGGTGGATGGAGTGAGTGGGGACAGCCTGGCTCTGAGCCAGTGACTGGAGACTTTGCAGCATTCAGCAGGTTAATCTATTGCCCACTGATTGTGAGTGGATCTGTGTGGGTTTGATCTGTGCAGCGGGAGAATCGGAGACTGCAGGAGACCAGCTTGCGCCTGGAGCAGGAGAACGATGACTTGGCTCATGAGCTTGTGACCAGCAAGATTGCCCTGAGGAGTGACCTGGATCAGGTAAGGGACATCGCTGCTCTTCGCTCTCTGATCCAAGATCCCAAATCAAAACAGAACCTTGGGTTTGTGTAGCACCTTTCACAACCTCCGGGTGTTTCAACCTGGTTATCAGCCAATTCGGTCTTTTTGAAATGTTACCACGATTGTAACGTGGGAAAGGTGTGGAGTGTGAGGTGTGGGAAGCAAGTGACACTCAGCAAGTGGATATCTTCCCTGCTCTTCAAAATTCGTCCCAGGGCAAGATTTCCAAACATCTGAGAGGGCGGGTGGGGCTACAGGGTTAATGGCTCATGCAAAAGATAGTCCGTATGATGACAGTGCAGCAATCCCCTCACTGTGTGCACCGCAGTGTCAGAGTTCAACACCATTCTCAAAACTCTGGCATGGGACTTGAACCTACAACATTGTGGTTGGGAGCAGAGAGCCCAGGCTGGTCATGCTGTATCCCCCAACAGAAAGGCCTGTGTTTGATCAATTATACTGCATAGTGTGCTCACTGACTGGGTGGCCAGGTGCTGTGCAATTCACTGCAGTTCTATCTCAAAAGCAAGATGTGCTCCCCCTCCCCCAGCCCCTGAGATTGGGGAAATGTGTCCAAGTGTCCGATCATACTGTCCGGAAACAGTTTGGAGGGAATTCCTTACTCGGTCCCTCACACTGTGTCCATCTTCCCCATTCAGGTTGAAGACAAGGCTGATGTCCTCAACAAGGAGCTCCTCCAAACCAAACAGAAGCTGGTGGAGACTGAAGATGAGAAAAGGAGACAGGAGGAAGAGTCAGCACAGGTACTGAGAGGACAGTGGGAGGGATAGTGGGTGAGGAAGTCCCCTGATCCCCGCTCGTACGTGTGGTTATTGCTTGATGCTGATTGAGACTCTCGTTCTGATCTTTGCTTTCCTGCTGTTGCAGATTAAGGAGGTTTTTCGCAGGGAGTTAGAGAAAGCTGAATGTGAAGTCCGCAAGACAAGTGCCATCATTTTGGACTACAAACAGGTACGGACCCCATGACCTGCTGCATATTTCCTGGGAGGGGGACACTGAGCAGATTGTGTTGAACTGAATGCTGTATCGGGTGGCTGGGTGTTTCAGGGTCTGAGTATGGGGTTTGTCTCTCATTCCTTTCCTAATGTCAGTGGGGGGTGACCATCCTAGAGCAGCTGCACTCTGCTGGGGCACAGCTTCCTGGTAAATTCTGACAAGGAAAGCTGGAGAACCCGTGCAGTGGACCGATGTACCGCAGTCCATCTGCCAGCCCTGAGTGGATGGTACGGGGGAATAAGTAATATAGCTTAATTTCTGGGTGGTCCTGAGAATTCCTCCCTGTCTCTTCCTACCTGTTCCGTCACCATGCTGGATACATTGGGATTTAAACTCTTAGACTGAAACCGAGAGGAAGAATATTCTTAATGGGGGAATAACCTTCCTTGCAGCCAGGGCAAGCAGCAATTTCGAATGTAAATGAACAAGATTTATGGGGCAGCGAAGATAGATATCTCTTTTTCCTGTTGACGTGGCCTGTTAAACTAGTTTGCTGCGGGTCAGTCTGTCTCACTGTGGCTCCTGGGACTTCTGATCTCAGTCCTTTGACTGATGACACACTGTGAGGATTCATCTTCAGTTTAATCTTCATGTGAAACTCTGCAGCTTTAAGACGTTCGAGTTGAAAGTTCCCAGCCTACCTTAGCTGCTGTGACCGCAGTCCCTGCAGACTGCTCTCTGCTAAAAGCAGCTTCTTAGCAAAGACATTTTACTGTCACTTCCTCTTGATGCCTGTACCTGTTGCATAGCACAAATTCCTCACTTATCACAACCACTTGTTGACCAGTAACTCACTGGAAAGTATCAGCTGCTTTCTCCTAAGCTGCTCTCCCAGCCAGAGCTCCCTTTAGCAAGTGTCCTCTTGTCAAGTCCTACCCCCTAACTAACACACAGACCCTGGGCAAGTGTTCTATTTTTATCCGCTTTCTGCAGACAGGCACAGACTGATCTGGGTGTCCTGGTACATGAATCACAAAGTCACTATGCAAATGATTAGGAAGGTCATAGAATCCCTACAGTGTGGAAGCAGGCCATTTCGCTGTCAAGTCTACACCGACCTTCTGAAGAGCATTCCACTCAGACCCATACCCCCATCCCTGTACCCCTGCATTTCCCACCGCTAATCCATCTCGTCTGCACATCCCTGGATATTATGGACAGTTTAACATGACAATTCAATCCATCTAACATGCACATCTTTGGACTGTGGGTGGAAACCGGAGCACCCGGAGGAAACCCACCCTGACACCAGGAGAATGTGCAGACTCCACACAGTCACCCCGCAGATGGAATTGAACCTGGGTCCCTGGCACTGTGAGGCGGCAGTGTTAACTACTGAGCCACTGTGCTGCCTGGGAACGATGGATAGCGTATTGGTGCTTATTGCAAAGGAATGTTGATGTGGCTCCATCTGGAAAGCTGTGTATCATTTTGATATCATTTAAGAAAGGATATCAAGGATTGTGGGGAAAAGACAGGAAAGTGGAGTTGAAGATTATCAGGAACAAAAACAAAGTTGCTGGAAAAGCTCAGCAGGTCTGGCAGCATCTGTGGAGGAGAAAACAGAATTAACGTTTCATGTCCGGTGACCCTTTCTCAGATCAGACCCTTATCAGATCAGCCATAATCTCATTGAATCATGAAATAGACTTGGTTGGCTAAATGGCCTATTTCAACTCCTAAACCTTAATATGTGTGTGTGTCGGAAAACAGCTCAGACACAGATGTGTAAGAGCGACCATTTCGGTGGCAGTAACAACTCTGAGGCGGAGGAGTTTGTTTAAGCAAATCGAGTGGTTTATTACAAGCAGCTACTGGTAAATACAGGGAGAGGAGTTGTCAGTAGACACACAGAAATTCCGAACTCACTCTGATTCATGAGCACGAGTTACAGCTTTTTATACACAGAAATAAACAACTTGTCCAGCAATCATCAGTTTATCTCCATTCCCCCTTTCTAGTGTGGTCACTCCCCAGGGCACATCATGTGCTCTCATTTTAGTTTGATAATTTAGTCAGAATTTTTGATACTCTAGTCAGTTACCTACTTTGTCACTATTCTCTCGTCCTGTCTAATCTTGTCAACCAGCTATCTAACAGTTAGGGTGCATGGTCCTGTGGTCTAACTAAAATGTCAGAGGTGTCGGCCATTTCAATGTAGTCAGTAGACCACGTTGTTCCACCCGAATAAGCCTTGCTTCAGCATTTTCAGTCAACTATTTCATGTCTATTCTACTGTGTGTGTGTGTGTGTGTGTGTGTGTGTGTGTGTGTGTGTGTGTGTGTGTGTGTGTGTGTGTGTGTGTGTGTTTGTTCCTCTGAGGAAAGGTTGGAAACGCTGTACAATTGGAGTTTAGAAACAAGAGGTGATCTAGTGAAAACAGAATGATGAGGGATAAAAGCAAGAGACAGTAGATCCTGGAAATCTGAACAAAAAACCAGGAATGTTGGAGGAACTCGGCAAGCCTGGTGGCATCTGGGGAGAGAGAAGCAGAGTTGAGGTTTCTGAAGAAGTCACACCCAACTCGAAACTCTAACTCTGTTTCTCCCACCACAGATATTGCTGGGCTAACTGAGACCCTGAGGGGATGTGACAGATGGATACCAAGGGAATGTTTCCTCTTGTGGGGGGGATCCAGAAGCAGGGACACAGTTTGCGAAAGACAGTTTACTTCAGAACAACAAAGTCACATTAATCCGTAACAATTAAGGCCTTCCCACTAAACTTATGGACAGTGCAGTCTGATAACTTGAGCCTTAATAATTGTGCACATGCATCAGTGAGGAGACAGGAGCAATAATAAGTCTCCCTCTTGTTCTGTTCAGATTTGTTCACAGCTGAGTACACGGTTGGAGAGACAACAGGCGGCGGGTAAGGAGGAACTGGAGCTAGTGAAGGTAGGATTCAGCTGGTGATCAGCCTTTGATGATCCCACTCCTGCACTTGTCCTTGTGTTGTCTTCATATTGGGTCACCTGTTGTATGTTGTGTGGTCACAGAGTCTTTACAGCACGGAAAGAGGCGCTTAGGCCCATTGTGTCCAAACCGACCATCAAACACGCTCCAATCCCATTTCCAAGCACTTGGCCCACAGCCTTGTATGCTGAGGAGTTTCAAGGACTCGGCTAAATGCTTCTGAAATGTCTTCAGGGTTCCTTCCCCTACAGCCTCCTGATTGTGGAAAGTCTGTTCACAATGAGCTAAATACCCAGCAATCAGCATCTTCTATTCACGCATGGGATGTGGGTCTTGCTGCCTGGGCCAGCATTTATTGGCCATCCCCAGTTGCAGCTCACCCACCTTCTCCAGGGCAACTAGGGATGAACTCACTCTGAGCTCAAACAGTAGTTGTGGTTAATGGTGATGATGAGGTCTCACCAGGCAAGGACCCACCATCCAAACATAGGAGCGATATTGCTGTTCCAAGCACCTACACTGGATTGCAATGTTTCAAGAAGGCAGCTCACCACCACCACCTCAAGGGCAATTAGGGACGGGCAGTAAATGCTGGCCCAGCCCAGAACACCTAATAAATTAAAATAAACTCTTGTTTCAGTGGTGAGATGAAAAGATGCAAGTGTAGGATTGGTGCCTCAGGCCTGCTCTCTCTGTTCAATCCCCAGGGTAAAGTGCTGTCCTGTGACCGCTGTTGTGAACTCTTCAAGGAGGATGGTGAGCTGCAGCTCCCAGATCCTGGCCAGGATCACACGAAGCAGCACATCGATGAAGAGAAGGAGATTCTGAAGAAGCAGCTGCGGGAGATGGAGCTGGAGTTAGCACAGACCAAACTGCAGCTGGTGGAGGCCAAGTGTAAAATCCAGGTACAGCCTCGAAATGGAAGCTCTACTGGGGGAGGAAGGGTGAGAGCGAGAGAGGCTTAGGTGGTACAGGACCAGTGTTCCTACATGATCTGGCCCTGAGCAACTTTCTGACAGGAGACCTGTGCCCGAGCTGTGGCTCCCTGTAGATACTCTGTCTCTGGGTTGTCCTGATGGATTATTTCCCGGTAAAATCATTGTTTCTTTTCTCTGCCTTTCCCAGGAGCTGGAGCACCATCGGGGAGCTCTCCTCAATGAGATCCAAGCTGCCAAAAACTCCTGGCTCAGCAAGACCCTAAACTCGATCAAAACTGCCACTGGCACTCAACCCCCTCAGCCTCCGCCTCCCCCTGCTCCCAAGGAAAGCACATAGTGCCACACACCTCGTCCTCCTCCTCTTCTCAGCCCCTGATGGTGAAGGAACAGCAGACTGAGGATTACCTCCTGAACTCAACAGCAAGTCCTCACCACTGGCACTATCCTCAAGCTCAAGAAATTGCCCTGCTCAGGGCCAGCTGCCCAGTTCTTTGTACATTTAAGTCCTTCCTCAATCTTGGAATCCAATCTGACTGATTTGTTGGTTTGTATATTGTAGAACAAGAAATGTTGTATTTTATAATCAGCACCTTCTTGTCATTTTCATTGGCAGCCGTTGTTGTTTGGGAATCTCATTGGTTTAATATGGTGAGTGGGTTAATCCTACAGGCACTGGGAAGGATGAGGGGCTGTCAGAAATACCAGTGTTTGCTGATTCGTCACCTTGACCAGGCGAACTGAGAATCTTCTTCACTCTCTACTGTCTCTCTTTCCTCTCCTTCCTTCTCTCACTGTCCTGCGTGCTCCCTCTTTCTGAGCTTCTTGCCATCCAGAGCTCTTGCTCTCTCCCTCTGTCTCTCTCTCTCTCTCTCGGTCTCTCTCTCTCGCTTGCTCATGCTCTCTCTCGCTCTCTCTCTGGACTGAGAGCTGCTCCTATTCATTGACCCACAGAGATCATGTTTTGCTCAGGTCAGTTCCCACGATTCACTGTCGCACTCTACTCGTCCTGTCTTACACACTAAACGTTCTGCTTGGATCTTTACACAGGTCTGTCCTACATTCTTCCCTTTCAGCCTTTACAAACCGATGTGTGTGGATGTGACAGAGGAACAGCTAAAGGACTCGTTTTGCACAATGTACAAAGAACAAATAATCTATCTTGTTCCTTTAATTTTCAGACAGGTTCAATATTCGATGTAGTTAAAATTTGGGGAAATTTTATGTTTAACTTGCAGCAGTCTATTGTCCCAGGGAACAGGTTCCTGTTGTTGGTGTGTTTATCTGTAATGCCAGCTGCCCCCAGTTGTTCACCCTGGTGCAGCCATCTCTGGGGGCAGCTTATATTTGTAGCAGTTGTATTTTCAACAATAAACTAACTCACTGTTGTTGGTCTGTCTGTGTTCTCTAATCACTCCACACCACTGGCCCTTCAGGTAGTTGTATAGGAAGATCCCAATTCTTTCCCATTCACTTCAAACTATTTGATTGGCGTCAATGTGAGCACATTCTGGCCAGAAGTGGGATTGTCAGTAAGTGACTGCACTCTGTCCTGTAAATCTCAGTTATAGACACACTGATCACAACATCCAGGTTTAACTGGAATATGGGAATGGGGGCCAAGATATGATCACAACTTGTCCTGACACAGCACACCCCCCTCCCTTCCCCTCCTCAAATCAAATCAGAAATCACTAACTGAGGTTTACACTGAGATCAAACTCAAGGAGGGATGGCATGCTGCAAAGCTGAGATACACGCTCTCAGACATTAACTGGGTAACAGTCATATCTAGACTGACAGAGACGTCTACAGACAGCATTGGATGACAGTCACACTCACAGCATCATGTATGCTGTGGGATCCAGACTGATCCTCTCTCTGAACTAAGACCTCACTAAGTTCAGTTTTGAGCTGTTACTGTGAGGAACAGGCGAAGGTGGGAGAAATGAATGTTAGGACTGTAGCCTCCAGCATCTGTGATTGGCCAAAGTCAATTTCAGGTGTTCCCCAGCAGCAGCAGAGAGTGCACTGTGCGATCCCACCAGCTGGGTCTGGACCAACAGAGTGAAGAGTGAATACCTCAGATTGTAATGATTTGAGGCCCAGCAGTTTCAGTTTCTGTTCTGTTTGGAATCTTGTACAATCACCAGATTCCAGATCAAATGGATCTTTTGAAAATAAATGACTCTCAATCTAATCTGCAGTAGAAATGTCATTGATTGGCTAGGTGACCTGTCAATTAGCTGACAGGGGGATAGTCAATTTCCAAAGCACACTCAGAGACAGAGACTAAATCTTCTTCATCTTTATTCCCTTTTCCAGATTGACTTTGACAGAAAAAACACTGCAATTAACAGCCCAGAGAGAGGAAGCTGCACAAATTCACAGCCAGAATGGAGCTTGAGGAAAATACTTATGAAGATTTTCTCAATAACATGAGAATCCTGTCCCTTTAAACAGTGACAAAACCTTAAATTGGAACTGGCGGCTGAGCAGGAAGGAGGTCTGGTTTACTGAAGTAGAGACTTCTGAGGTTCACATTGTATTTGTACAGCTGACAGTCTTCAGCATCTTTGAGAGCTTTTACTTGTTATCTCAAGTCAACACTATCCCCATCAAACACTCCCAGGACAGGTACAGGATGGGGTTAGATACAGAGTGAAGCTCTCTCTACACTGTCCCAATGCCCTGCCTTAACCCCTGAACCTCAGAAGTGTCTCCGAGCCAGTCCCGAGAAGGAAGAGAGTTGAAATTCCGTGCTGACAATGACATTTGTCCAGCCAGCTCAGCCCTGTTCTATTTAAAGTTGTGTCTCCTCTGTGGACTGTCTCAAACAACTACACACACTCTGATCTCCTGATGCTCTTGCTGAGGGGAGAAGAGAGGGTGACATGGGTGAGGGCACAGGAGAAGCGAGCATTGGACTCCCAGTCAGAGCCAGAGAGGGTCAGCAGGCTGCTGACACTGTAGGTGCTGTCCGAAGCTCGTAGATAGTTGCTGGTCTGAATCCCGTCCGAAATGACTGCACCATCCTTCTTCCACTGCACCTCCAGCTCATCAGGATAGAAGTGATTGGCAAGGCACACCAGGGTGGCAGTGCCCTTGGTCTGGACCTGCTCCGGGGAGGGGGGCAGCAGGGTCAGCTTGGGCTGAGACCTCTCACGGCCTGAAAGACAAGAGAAGCAATTTTAATCCCTGCCATTCGAATGGATTTCAACTCTCCAAACATTAACTGGCAAAATAATCCATTTGAACATGTAGGCAAAACCAAACAAATCCAACAAAAGAATGGACATTGTTTAGATTCTTGAGATGAGCATCACTGGCAGGGCCTGCATTTATTGCTCATCCTTAATTGCCCCGAGAAGGTGATGGTGAAGCAGCAGAAAGGAAAGGGACAATTTTGTACCATTGTTTAGGGAATGAATGTGGGCAGCAGCTGGAAGGACTATCAACGAGGGAGCATTTTAGTGACAGTGATGAAGAACTCAGTGAGATTGACAGTAGGGATGGAAGTGGAGAACCATGGAGCATGTGTCAATGTTTTCATTTGGGAATGAACCATTTTATGAAACTCTGCGGTGATTTGGTAAAAGGGGACTGGAACCAGCGACTTGATGGGAAATCAGTGTCAGGGCAGTGGGAGGCTTCCAAGGACAAGACAAGAGATTGTTCAGAATCTGTTCCCACAAAGAGTAAGGGTGGGATTCCCAAATCCAGACTCTCAGTCCGGGTTGTGAAAAAGCAGCCAGAGTAGGGAAGACCAAACAGGGAAGGTGATGTTCAATCCTCTATACAATTCTGGTGAACAGGTTATTCTGGAACTGTGTAAAATCCCAGTTGCAGCACAGACAGAGAACTGTGTACAGTTCTGGTTACCGTATTACAGGAAGGATGTGATCCCATTAGAAAGGGAACAGAGGAGATTTATGATGATTTTGTCAGGAATGGGGAGTTTTAGCTATGAGGCATGTTGGATTAGCTGGGACTGATTTCTGTGGAACAGAGGGGGCTGAGGGGAGATTAGATCGAGGTGTGTAAAAGGATGTGAGGGGCTTGGATACAGTGGATAGGAAGGACTGATTTCCATCAGCAGAGAGGGCAATAACCATGGGGAGAGATTGAAATGAATGGGGGTCAGGGTTCAAGGGGAGTTGAGGAGTAAGTTTTTCACCCAGAGGGTGAAAGGATCTGGGACTCACTGTCTGAAAGAGTGGGAGAGGCAGAAACCCTCATCACTTGGATATTCACTTGAAACACCAAACCCTCCAGAGTAGGAGTAAAGTGGGATGGAGCTCGATATCATCAAATCCCTACAATGTGAAAGCAGGTCATTCAGCCCATTGAGTCCACACCAACCCTCTGAAGTGTATCCACTCAGACCCACCCCCTATCCTATCCCTGTAACCCCATGGCTAACCCACCCAGCCTGCAGAGCCCAGGACACTAGGGGTAATTTAGCCTGGCCAATTCACCAAGCTGCACCTCTTTGGACTGTGGGAGGAAATCCATTCAGGCACGGGGAAAATGTGCAAATTTCACACAGACGGTCACCTGAGAGTGGATTCGAGCCCAGGTCCCTATGTGCTGTGAGGCAGCAGGGCTAACCACTGTGCCACCAGCACAATATCTCTTTAACAAACCTCTGATCAATCACAGATCGAGAGAACTTTCTCTGAGAACATTGGAGCAGACTTGGGTCACAGCACTTCAAAAAGGAGTAACATTGGGTATGTGTAGAAGGTTCTAGATTTCTTTTTAAATCTTGCTGCCCAGCACTGGGCTGAGGTCAAGGGTGAAGCTGCAATGAGTCTGTGTCCCAGGGTTAGGCAGGGTCACTGCTCCTAATGACCCCGTGATCCATGGAAGGTGATAGTGCACGGACAGTGGGTGAGTGTAAGGATCAGGAGACTCCAATCTCAAAGAAAAACTTGCATTTGTGTACCTGTCCCATCTCAGGATGTCCCAATGGCTCTTTCCAGCAGTCTGTGCACAGCAAGATCCCAGCGAGTGGAGTGGTAATGAGCAGGGCATCAGATTTTCAGTGACGGTGATTGGGAGGGTAATGATTGACCAGGACACCAGGTGAAGCTGCCCTGCTCTTTGTCTAATAGTTCCAAGAAAAGACAGACGTGTATTTTTATCGAGTATTTCACGCCTCAGGATCTCCCAAAGGCATTAACAGACAGTGAGGGCCTTGCCTGAAGAGCAGTCACTGTTGGAATGTGTGGGATGTGGCAGCCAGTTTGTACACAAGAAGATCCCACAAGCAGCAATGAGATCACGTAGCATTTACGTTGATGTTGTTTCAGGGATATATATTGACCTGAACTCGACCCAAAGAGAAAGGGATTGGATGGAAAATGAGAAAATGAAAGGTAAAGGAGAAGGTGGATTGCTGGTTAGTAATGGGGTTGACTGTTACCAGAAAATAAAAGGAAGAGACAGATTTTGTGAATGTAATATTGTGGTGCAGGGAAGCTCAATTTAAAAAAGAACAAACTTAAAGGCTTTGTGTCTAAATGCACAAAGCAATTGAAATAAGGTAAACAAAGTGGCAAATTGAGGTAAATCTAGTTCCCAAGGACTTTAAATGGGGGTGGCATCTGAAGAGATAATTAAAGTTTCCAGAACAAGTAAAAGGACAAAGAATATGGAAAGGGTCAGAAAACTAACTAGGCACAGCAGATAAGGGAACAACTATAAGGAGGGCAGTCAATGCAGGACTGAGGGTGTTTTACTTAGTTGTACGTAGTATATGAAATGAGCTAGTAGTACAGATTGAAATTGGCAGCTACAGTGTTGTGGGTATCACAGAGACATGGCTGCAAGGGGATCAGGGCTGGGAACTAAATATCCAAGGGTACACGTCGTATTGAAAGGACAGACAGATGGACAGAGGGGGCAGGTTTGCCTTGTCAGAAAGAAATTAAGTTAAATTGATAGCAAGAGCCTTATCGAGTCAGAAGACATAGAATCTGTGGGGGTAGAGTTGATGAACCATGAAGGATAAAAGGCCCTGATGGGACTCGTGCACAGGCCTCCGAGCAGTAGTCAGGATATGGGGTAGAAAATAAATGAGGAGATAGAAAAGCCATGTAAGAGAGGCAGTGTTACTATAATCATGGGGAATTTTAATATGCAATGGACAGGAAAAATCAGATCAGTCGATGATCTCAGGGAAAGCAATATGTTGATTGTTTACAAGATGGATTTTTTGGAGCATGTGGTAAAGCCCACTAGTGAAGAGGTATTTCTGGATTTGATGATGTGTAATGAGGCAGATCTGATTAGGGAGCTGAACGTGAATGAACCCCTTGGGGCAGTGACCATAATATGACAGGATTCTCCCCGCTGTTTGAGAGGGAGAAGCTGGAATCTGGTGTTATAGTAGGAGCTAATGAGCAAGTTAGACAAAGGAGAACCAATGGACGTGATCTATTTGGATTTCCAGAAGGCCTTTGACAAGTGGCCACACATAAAGCTGCTAAATAAGATAAATACCCATGGTGTTTGGGCACGGTACTGGGATGGATAGAGAGTGGGAATAAATGGATCTTTTTCAGGATGGCAACCAGTGCCTAGTGGAGTTCAGCAGGTGTCAGTGTTGGGTCTACAGCTATTCATGTAAAACGTAATTATACAATAATGATCTGGGAAAAGGTACTGAGGGCATATTTTTGCTAAGTTTGCAGATGACACAATGATCGGGGGAGGGACAGTGTTGAGGGTGCAGGGAGCCTGCAGAAGGCCATGGACAAGCTCAAAAAGAGGGCAAGGAAGTCGCTGATGGAATACAATGTGGAAAAGTGTGAGGTTTTGCACTTTGGTGGGAAGAATAGAGGGGTAGTCTATTTTCTAAATGGAGAAATCTTAAGCACAAGGGGACTGTTCAGGTTTCTCTTCGGGTTAACGTGCTGATTCAGTTGGCAGTTACAAAGGTAAATACAGCGTTATAATTCATTTTGACTGAACAGACTGATTTGGAATATTGTGCGCAGTTTGGGCAGCATGGAGACTCAGTGGTTAGCACTGCTGCCTCACAGCGCCAGGGTCCCAGGTTCAATTCCACCCTTGGGTGACTGTCCATGTGGAGTTTACATGTTCTCCCCATGTCTGAATGGATTTCCGCCGGGTGCTCCGGTTTCCTCCCACAGTCCAGTTTAGGTGGATTGGCCATGCTAATATGCCTAATTTGTAAGGGGATCAAAATTTCTGGGAGAAGGAAGAAGAATGGGTTTGAAAGATACATCAGCCATGATCAAATGGCAGAGCAGACTTGATGGGCTGAATGGCCTAATTCTGCCTTTATTAGTCTTTTATGGAGAGTTTCTGCAAGACCTTAGAACCGCTGGATTGTGAGCCCTGCTGTAGCTGTTTATCATCAGAACTTTGCCAGGGATAACCATGGAGTGGAGAGAGTATACACCCTGTTCCAAGTGGGAACTTCAGGATGCTTCCTGGCTCCTGGAATACAATGAGTGCAGGAAGTGTGGTCAGTGACAGCAGTTGGAGCTCCGGGTTTCGGAGTTTGAGCAGCAACTGGTGTCAGTGCGGAGAGTCCGTGAGGCTGAGAGCTCCGTGGAGAAAACGTTTCTAGATGTGGTCACTCCGCAGCTTCAGAGTATGCAGGGAGAGAGGGAATGGGGGAGCAGCAGGCAGTCCAAAAGGACCAGGCAGCTAGTACAGGGGTCCCCTGAGTGTATCCCACTCTCCAACCAGGATTCAGTTCGGAATCCTGATGGGAATGATGGTTCATCTGGGGAGTGCAGCCAAAGCCAAGCCCATGGCACCACGGGTGGCTCAGGAGGGTCCACATTGGTCCCAGTGACAGAGGGAGAAAAGGGATGTGGTCCTGCAGTCAGAATTTAGGGAGCTTGGGAGGGAATTAGCAGCAGGAGCTCAAAAGGAGGAATCTCTGGAATACTCCCAGTGCCACACGCAAGTGAGAATAGGACCAGGAAGATAAGAGAGGGGAATGTGGGGCTGGAAAGAGGTTCCAGGAGGGAGGGCTTTAGATACTTGGGATTGGCGCTGGGGAAGATGGGAGCTGGACAGGCCAGACGGGTTACTTCTGAGCAGAGCTGGGACTGAGTTCCTTGTGGGGTGATTTGCTAGTGCTGTTGGAGAGGGTTTAAATTAACTTGGCAGGGCTGTGGGGACCAGGAGGGAATATTAGGGAGGAACACCAAGGTCCACAGAATCCTGGGAGAGATAGATAGCAGCAGAATAAGGAAATGTGATTTGATAGGCAGGGTCAGAGTGAGGGAGAGAGTAATAAAGTCTAAATCAGGGTCACTGTGCATGTATGGGACTGAATGGAGTGTAGGGAGTAAGATTGGGGAGTTACAGACACAGATCGCCAAATGGAAATCTAATGTTGTGGCTCTTACACAGACCAGGCTTAAAGAAGGACAAGGCTGGATGTTAGGGGGGAAAAGGACAAGGGAAGGTGGGATTGGTTATGGAGATCAGTGCAGAGCTGGAGAAAGAGGATGTCCCAGGAAGGTCAAGGACAGAATCGATTTGGCTCGAGATAAGGAACAAAAAAAGATGCAATCAGATTTCTCAGTGCAGTCTATACTTCACCGACCAGTGGGAATGATGTAGAGGAACAGATCTGCAAGGAATTTACAGAGAGGTGCAAATATCATAGAGTTGTTATAATGGGGGACTTGAATGATCTGATTGTAGACTGGGGTAGTACCAGTGTGAAGGGCAGAGAGGGGCCAGAGTTGTGAGAGTATGTTCCAGTGAATTTTCTCCAGCTTTGTATTACCAGTTCAAAGAGAAAGGAGGGTCTGCTTGACCTGGATCTTGGGAATGAGGAGAGATGAATGCAATGAGGAAAAATGAGTGGTTAAGGTGTGGGATGCACTGCCTGAGAGTGTGGTGGAGGCAGCTTCAATTGAAACGTTCCGAAGGGAATGACACTGTTATTTGAAAAGGAACAATGTGCAGGGTGACAGGGAGAAGGCAGGAGAATGACACTCAGTGAATTGCTCATTCAGAGAGCCGGCCCAGACAGGATGGGCGGAATGGCCTCCTTGTGCACTGTAACAATTCAGTGAGTGTGTGATTGAGCAGAGTTAAAGCTGGGGGAGGTGGGAACTCGGTGTCTCACTGTGCTGCTGCTGGGGTCAGTGAGATCAGAGACTGGGACAGGGAGCCAGAGCTCGCATCAAACTCTGTCCGTGTCCGTCACACTGAGACTGGCAGGAGGCTACTCACTGATTTCACTCCATGCTGCAGGAATGTGACCACAGGCTGAAAACGGACACAGCTCCTCCACACGGTGAGTAAAACTTACTGACTTATATCTTGCTGCTTAAAGGGGGCAATGGAACTAGAGAAATACATCCTCAATCAACCATTTCATTCACTGCAGCTCCCCACTAACACCTTCAACAATTCAGCATTTGTGTTTTAGAAAGTTTCAGTATTGAAAGGGTTAATAACGGAGGATTGAGGTTTACTTACTCAGTCTGAGCTTGGTTCCTTTACCGAATGTAAACCACAGTGAGAGCTCCCAGTGCAGAGGCTGTTCATAAACCCCTGCTCTCTGCTTCCCTCCGTCACTCTCACCCTCTCCCTGTCTCTCTGTCTGTGTCTGTCACTCACTCACACCTACTCTCCCTGTGTCTCTCTGAATCTCACTCATTCTCATCCTCATCCTCTCCCTGTCTCTCTGTGTCCCTCTTTCACTCATGTCTTTCTCTCTCAGTTTCTCTCCTTCTGTTTCTCTCTCTCTCTCTCGCTCTATCTCCCTCTCTCTCTCTGGGTTGTATCCAGCTGGGTTGGGGAGATTTGTGAACTTTATTTTTTGATGTTAAATCTTGCAGCTGCTCTTTACATGTGGCCAAGGAGTGTAAGAGGGAAACTTGAGGCCTTCAGTGAGCGGTGGACACCACAGGGACTGGAGTGTGTAATGGACAGTGACAATCCCAATTTGGGGTTATTTGTTCAGTTTCATTTATATATAACTGTGGGATGTGTCAGTACAGGGGGTGGTGCTGTGTGTATTGATGTTTTTGTCTGGCTCTGTATCACTGTGTAGAGGGTAGCTCTCAGTTTGCTGACAGTAATAGTCAGCGACATCCTCATTCTGAACATTGCTGATTGTCAGGGTGAAGTGTGTGCTGGACAGTTCTTTTCCGGTGAATCGCTCGGAGACTCCTGTGAATCGATTTGTTGCATAATAGATCAGGAGAGAGGGTTTCTGTCCTTCTCGCTGCTGGTACCAGGAAACATCAGCACTGGCACCCTGACTGGACTTACAGGTGATGGTTGCGGTCTGGCCCAGTCCCACTGACAGCACCGGGGGAGACTGGTTCATGATGATGTCCCCACTGATACCTGAGGGATCAGAAAGAAACACAGTGAAGTCAGAACTGTCACAGAAAGAGCCTGTCAAATGAGAGATTGTTGGAGACACTGAGCATTCCTCTGGTTTCACCATTTTCCTTCAATCACAAGTCAGTGGAATTGGAGTGAAATGGAGAGCAGCTAAAGATTCAAGGTGGAAGGAGAGAGATTTGTACCTGCGACGCAGAATGCCAGAGGCCAGATCAGCTGGATGTGTGAAATCATGGTGTGTGCTCCTGTCCCTGTGCCTGGTTCCTGATAAACTCTCCCTTCACTGAGCACTGCTTTATAAAGCTGCAGCCTGTGGGAGTCTCACTGGCTGTTCCTCAGTATGTAAATGGCATCAGGCAGAGAGAGAGCCACGTCAGTCCCTCACACTTCCTCTTCTCTCTCTCTCACACACACACTCTCACTCACTGCCTCCCTTATTGATTTTTAGAACTTTTTTTTTTATCTTCAGCTTTTGGCATTACTAGCTGAACTAGGATTCATTGCCCAATCCTGGTTGCTCAAAGGCAGTTAAGAGCCAACCACATTACTGTGGGTGTGCAGTCACATGTAGCCCAGACCAGGTGAGAAAGGCAGTTTCCTTCCCAAAATGGCATTCGTGAATCAATGATTTTTATGATGATTTATGATCACCATGGGACTCTTAATTCCAGATTTGTTTTATATTAATTTCAAATTCCACCATCTACTGTGACAGAATATGTTCCCTCGAACATTCCTGGTATCTCTCGATTAATGGTCTAACAATTAAGTGCCATCACCTCTCCAAATCCCTCATAATCACCCTTCTCTCACACACTCTGCTTTCACGCTCACTGCCACTCTCTGACTTTCTCGTCTCTCTCTCTCTCTCTCACTCTCATAGTCCTTTCACACTCACTATTACTCTGTCTTTCCTCTCTCTCTCTTTCTCTCTCTCTGTCTCCAAGGAAATTTGACAAATTGGATCCAGAATTTGCTGAGTGCAGGGAAGCAGAGGATGATTGTTGAGGAGTATTTTTCTGACTGGAAATCTGTGTCCAGTGGGGTACGACAGGAGTCAATATTTTGGCTCTTGCTGGTTAGTAGTTTATATCAAAGATTTAGTTTTGAATGTAGGAAGGTTGATCAGTAAGTTCATAGATGGTACAAAATTGGTGAGTGGTAAATCATGAAGAGGAGGGACTCGGATTACTGGAGTATAGAGACGGACTGGATAGATGGGCTGATCAGGGGCAAAAGGAATTCAATCTGGATAAATGTGAGGTGATGCACTTGGGCAGGACAAACAAGGCAAGGGGATACATGATGGACGGTAGGACTCTGGGAAGCACCGAGGGTCAGGTGTGCAGGTACACCAGCCCCTTAGAGTGTCAGGGCAGGCAAATAAAATGGCTAAGAAGGTGTATTGGATACTTACCTTTATTAGCCAAGGTATGGAATTTAAGGACAGACAGGTTATGCTGGATCTGTTTAAATAGTCAATTAGGCCACAGCGAGAGTATTGTGTGCAGTTCAGGAATCCACATTATAGGAGAGGTGTGATATCACTGCAGACGATGCAGAGGAGATTTACCAGGATGTTGCCTGGGCTGGAGAGTTTCAGTTCTCGAGTCATTGAGTCATACAGCACGGAAGCAGACCCTTCGGTCCAACCAGTCCACACTGACCACATTCCCAAACTAAACTAGTCCCACCTGACTACGATTGGCCCATATCCTTCCAAACATTTCTTTTTCATGAACTTACCCAAATGCCTGTTAAACCTTATACCCACAAACACCGCTTCCTCTGAAAAGTTCATCACACACACAAACCACTCTATGTGGAAAAAAACTTGCCCCTAGTGTCTTTTATAAACCTTTCTCCTCTCACCTTAAAAATAAGCGCCCAGTCTAGAAATGTCCCACCCGAGGGAAAAGACATGTGCCATTCACCTTATCTATACCCCTCTTTTATAAACCTCTATAAGGTCACCCCTCAACCTCCTATGCTTCAGTGAAAAACGTCCCAGCCTATCCAACATCTCCTTATAACTCAAACTCAGTTATGGAGAGTGGATGTTGTCAGAATTGGTTAAAGTGATGATGGCTGCTGCAGTTGAATGTCCTGCTGACAGTTCCAGCCTTCCACACACAGAATAGGGAAGTGAGAAATGTAGGAACGTCCTGTCAGGGTCCATGGAACTATCCCTCAGGAGGGGAGAGGTAATGTTCAGGGTCCTGAGCTCCATTTTCCAGCCCAGGTAGTTTGTCTCCCAATGAATGAATGAGATGCCAGTTTAGAACCCAGATTAGGGGCAGTCTCATTCTGTGGACCCAGGTCTACAAGAGGGAATTGGAGATCGAGCTGAAAAGGAAAGATTTGCTGGGTTATGGGGAGAGAGAGGGCAGTGGGACGAATTGGGTCACTCCCAAACACAATGGGCTGAATGGCCTCCTCCTGTGCTGTAAGATTGTGCAGACGGTTCACAGTTTTCTCCCGTCTCAGTAACAAACATCCAGCTGCTCCGAGCTCCTCCTTTCACTTCCTCTGTTGGTGAAGTTTCAACCTTGCGATCTGACAGGCTTTGCAGTTATTTTTTACACTGGGGCTTTCTGCTGTGGTCAGAATCTCTAATAATAAGTGTCCAATCAGTGACAATCACAGCAGCTAAGAGCAGTCAGGACTGAGGAGCCAGGCTCACTGGGAAACACTTTGGGAAGATCAAAGCCATCCTCTTCAGCTCCCGGTACAAACTCCATCCCTCTCCCTGAGCACTGTCTGCTGCTCAACTAAAGTCTTGTGTTTACCCTGCCTTCTCCTGTTAGAATTTTACCAGTGTCAATGTGATTCTCCTCAATCTTCTAAACTCCAGCGAATATAGTCCTAACCGATACAGTTTACCATCAGATGTAAGTGCTGTCATCCCAGGAATCAGTCTGGTAAACCTTCGCTGCCCTCCCTCCACAGTCAGAACATCCTTCCTCAGGTAAGGAGACCGAAACTGCACACTATAGAATCATAAAATCACGCAGATTACACGCAGTGTAGGTGGGGAGTTACCTACACCCACCTTTACCGGCTCCATCCCGCCTCTTTGACCTGTCCGTCTCCTCTCCACCTATCTTCTCCTCTATCCATCTCCTATCCGCCTCCCCCTCTCTCCCTATTTATTTCAGAACCCCCTTCCCCTCCCCCATTTCTGAAGAAGGGTCTAGGCCCAAAACATCAGCTTTCCTGCTCCTCTGATGCTGCTTGGCCTGCTATATTCATCCAGCTCTACACCTTGTTGTCTCAGATTCTCCAGCATCTGCAGTTCCTACTATCTCTGAAACTTTTTAAAGGCTGTGAGGTTTCTCACCTCAACTACCCTCCCAGGCAGTGCATTCCAAACCCAACCTCCCTCTGGGTGAAACCCTGCTCCTCAACAACCCTCTAAAGCTCCTGTCTTCCACATTTAATGTGAGCCAACTTGTTATTGACTCTCCGACTAAGGGGAACAGCTGCTTTCTATCCACCCTGTGCATTCCCCTCATAACCTTATACCCCTCGATCAGCAACCCCCTCCACCTTCCCTGCTCCAAACAAAACAACTTGACCTTACCCAGCCTCACTTTACATCTGAAATGCTCCATCCCAGGCAACATTCTGGTGAATCTCCTCTGCACCCCCTCCAGTACAATCACATGCTTCCTATAGTGTGGTGACCAGAACTGCACACAGTGCTCCAGCTTTGGCCTAACCAAAGTTCTGTACAGCTCCACCATAACCTCCCTGGTCTTATAGTCTATACCTGAAATGATAAAGGTAAGTGTCCCATTTTCCCTTCATAACGGCCCTATAAACCTATTATACCTTCCAAAGTGCATCACCTCACATTTATCAAGGTTAAATTCCATCTGCCTCAGATCTGCCCATCTGACCAATCTGGTTATATCCTCCTGGAACTGAAGACCTTCTTCCTCGCTGTCAACCATCCGCCAATCGTTGTGGCATCTACAAACCTGGTTATCAGAACCCCACCTCTCGCCTCTCACATTCTCATCTACATTGTTTGTATATATCACAAACAATAAGGGACCCAGCACTGATCCCTGGGGTATGCCACTGCATACTGGATCCAGTCACACAAACAGTTTTGTGCACCCACCCTGTGTCTCCTGTCCCTGAGCCAGTTTTGGATTGAATTCTCCAGGTGTGATCTCACTAAAGCCCTGTACAATTGCAGCAAGACATCCCTGCTCCTGTACTCCAATCCTCTCACTATGAAGACCAACATACCATTTACCTTTTTCACCACCTGCTGCACCTGCATGCTTGCTTTCAGTGACTGCTGTACAGGGACACCCAGGTCTCATTGCACCTCCCCATTCCCAATCTATCACCATTCTGATAATAATCTGCCTTCCTGTTTTTGTAACTAAACTGGTTAATCTCACATTTATCCATATTGCACTTCATCTGCCCCTCACTCAACTTGTCCAAGTCACACTGAACCATCTCTGCATTGTCTTCACAGCTCACCTACCACCCAGCTTTGTGTTATCTGCAACCATGGGGATATTATTCATAAGTTCCCTCATCTGAATCATTAACATATATTGTGAATAGCTGCGGCACCCTTTCAGAAAAAGGCCCATTTATTCCTACTCTGTTTCCTGTCTGCCAATCTGTTCTCTATCCCCGTCAGTACACTGTCCCCAGTCCCATGAACCCTAATTTCATACACTAATCTGTTCTGTGGGATTTATCAAAAGCCTTCTGAGAGTCCAAATAAACCACATCTACTGGCCTCCCCTTATCAAATCCACTTGTTACATCGATATTGAGGGAGAGGAGGGGGAGAGGGAGACCAAGTGAGAGACAAAGAAAGGGAGAGACAGACAGAGAGTGATGGAGAGAGGGAGAGAGTAGGGAGTGACGGATAAGAAGAGCTACGAAGAGGGACAGAGAGAGGCAAAGAGAAGGAGATGGAGAGGGAGAGACAGCAAGAGGGAAAAGGTGAGAGAAAGAGAGAGAGAAACAAAGAGAGAAGGAGATAAAAAAGGAGGGATGGAGAGAGAGGGAGAGGGAATTAGTGACTGGGAGCCATCTGCTGGCCATGTCTGAGGGAAGGAGACTTATTCCAATTATATCGAACCTTGGTGAGGCCACACCTGGAGCACTTGTCCTGTTTCAGTCTATCTCCAGGATAGACTGACCTTGGAAGGAGTGCAAAGATTCACCAGGCTGATTCCTGGGATGAGGGGATTTGCGATGAGGAGAGTTTGAGTGGCCTCAGACATTATTCCCTGAAGTTTATTGGAGCAGGTTGGAGGGGCTGAATGGCCTCCTGCTCTACCT